GCGCCGAGGTGTCCCCCCGGCCCCCCCCCCCCCCCAATATAAGAACCAACACCCTCTCTTTGTCCTGGTATTACTGTCTTCTCTCAGGATACCTAGCGTAGCACTTCAGTTTTGAGTTGTTAAATTATTTAAGGCTATTATTAACTAATTTTGATTTTTTATGGAATGACTCTTTTACCCCTCTCTTCTTTCCCATTTTAATTCCTAGCACGCCTAGTTTATTTATTCTCAGGCTATCAAAACCTGTTTGCAAAACACTTTTCCTATGTTCATGACCCTGTGCTCCCATTCACCTTTATGCTATACCCTAGGTAAACTTCTTAAAGCGTGGCTTTTATCATGCTTGCCCCTGGATCAACCGTTGGAATACTGTGCTATTTAGAAGCTGAAGTCTAAATCCCTTTAAAGACTCCACAACCTACGATTAAGTTGGCCATTTTCTTAGTTTTTGAACTCTTAAGAAAATGGCCAACTTAATCGTAGGGACAAGTCTGGAGTTGAATATTATATCCCAGAATTGAATTGGGAAGACTGAATCACAACAGAAGATAGATTAAGTACATGAGACTGAACTGGTGAAATAGCATTCTGTGACTTTTGACTAAAATATTGCTGCTTTTCTTCTAGGCCTTGTTGTCTGGTTTTAAGAGTTTTTGTCCTGTCTTGAGCTGTCAGTAGGTTCATGTACCTGCTATTTGAACAGGATACTAACCTGTTTCCCGGCTTTAAGTTTTAAGCAAATTTCCTTACCAATTCAAAACTGCTTTTCTTGAAATTACCAGCTGAACTTGCTATTGAAAGTAGTTAGATTATTTAAGAAATTGTGTGATCAATAAAATGTGAGAGGAAAAGGAATGGAAGGCAACTGTAGACACCAGAGATAGTGTGAGAAGAGGATGGGAAAGGGCAGAGGGTCAGACATAGAGGTAAATTATATATATATATATGTGTATATATATATATATATATATATATATATATATATATATATATATATATATATATATATATATATATATATATATATATATATATATATACATATATATATATATATTTTATCTCTCTATCTGTCTCTCTCTCCTCTCCC